ACACAATAAACTATTCCTACTATTCTGGCCTCCACCGACTTCTCCTCTACTAGGGAACGGAACCTGGAAAATTGTAGGTGTTAGTGTTAACCGTCTTAACCTTAACTCCTATATATGCATCGAGTGCAAAAATGAACCACGTGTAAAATTTTCGAAGGTAATCTTTGAATGAAATCTAAGCTAAATTTTTACAACATAATTAGTGGATATGGTTGGATCAATGTATTCGGAGTGTTCAATAAAACCAAGAGCTATGACAGAATCAACCACTTGATCAGTTTTGTTTGAAAATTCGTCACGCGATAAGTCGTACGCACGCCATTTCCGCGAAATGTCTTTGGTGGAAAAGCGTAGAGCGAGTGTAATCAGGAATCTGCAGATCTTGAAGGATATGGGAGGTTTGAATCAAAAATAACTGAAATCATTATCTTTAGTACTTTCGGAGAAAGACGAGCGTATAGCATTGAAGAAATACAACATAAAAGATGTACGTTTTTCGGATAGTCCTGCAAGCTTTTCACTTGTTTTTGTGTTTTAGGATTTACCATCAGCTCTGAGGATATTGACAGTTTAATGTTGCAATATTGTTAAATTTAGAAGTCTTTGACTGTTTGCGCCAAATAAGTTGCCCATTTTTCTGTGACATTGAAACTACTGAAAGCCTTTTTTATCGCTTTTATGGAATGTAGGTGTTCATGCCCCCTTTATGTCGGAAAGAATAGGAGAATTGAATTTCCATGTTCTAATCAGATTTTACTGTCCTCATTCAGTTGAGTGAGAGCAGAAACATTTTTGAAGAGTTAAGACTTGTCGATTTCTGGAAAAAAACGCCAACAAAATCGGCTATCTAATGGTCGCATGATTAGGTGGCTGAGCATTGGCCAGAGGCAGTTACCAAACCCATTAAAAATTCCTTTTCCTTCAATGTGCAGCCTGACGCAAATTGTAGGATATAATATTGACGGCTAACACGGCTGCGCATCCAGTGTACTATATCCAAAGCTCACGTAGATAAAACTGCTGTTTTTTGGTGCCATAATCTGGCAGTAATTCGTACCCTTTACTGTGTATATATTATAATGTTTGAAAATCACCGTTTTACAGTAGGCTTAATCGTAGATTTGATCATACTTAGTTTAAAAAGCGATTCATTATTTCAAAGAGTGTTTCCTATATTGATGGGGAGTGTCGATTTCATCGGGACCTTTACGATTTCAACGATGCTCTCTTTGCTGACTCAAAGAGCTGACTTCGACTCTCAGCCCCAAGTTCTTGTTGACATGCAGCAGATTTGAAAGAAACGTCACTTACTTGCAATATCGGCAGTTGATGAGGACAGCGATGATGGACATTTATTTAGTTATATACAAGCATGCTTGTAACACTAGATGTTATTTCGTAAAACATACTGAAAAGCTAAGCCTCGGAGCATTCACTTTAGCAACCAAGTATTTTCCGCTTAAATCATATATAAGTTCATAATTCACGCAAGTCCTTTTCTTAAGCACAGTAGGCGAATGACTGTGCAGGTTTGACATACAGACAAGAAACCTTGAATGTTTTGTCTAGGCTGTAATGCGTTCCAGAATTTTAAGATCTACTGTTGGACTGCCATATTATTGGCGAAGTCGACAAATACTTCGCATTTTATTTAGGAGCTGAATTCGAAATTCTGAATATACCTTAAGTTGACGGAAGGGACGGTGCCAATGCCCTTTTGCTTCGTATCTACGTAGGCTCCATGAAACTATATCATAAGTATACGAAATAAAAAATTGACAGACTTAACCAAGCATGCTGTTCATTAACTTACGGGTTTCCAAGGAAAAGCAAACACTAATTAACTCACTCAAGCATTTTTTACCCATTGATCAGCCCTATCTATAACGAGGTCATGCAGCATGTTTATATGGAATATGGAGTTCTAATTGATGTTGTTTAGTGTATGTTTTCCTACATAAGGTATTTTGTTCAGACTGTAACGTCAACCATTCTATAGAGTCGACCTTCAATATAATTTCCCTTTCCGCCGCTGGTGGATTTTACCGGCGCAAGCACCTTTCCTCTTTGACTTGTCTTCTTAACAGATTGACTCTATTTAATACTTTTTTAATTTTTTTAGGAAAAAACACTTGCCAGAGAAAGAGCTGCGCTTATGCGCTATATGAAGACACACAGCGTATATCAAGCAATCCCTATATCCTTTATACATTGGTTTTAGGTTTCCAAGTCTGTCCGGCCAACTCGAAGGGTAGGGTTTTGCTTGTCCATCCTTACGCTGCTTTTCTGATAGCGTCGTTGTCGTCGACTATTCACTCAACACGATTCTGGATCCAGTGAAAGCGACTGGGCCAGCAGTGGCGATGAATGGCAGCCGTCACAATCTACAACATCATGCTTATCAGTTAAAACCAAAAATAAGAAGTCGTCATCAGCAGTTTCTCCAAAGTTGTCCGCCAAGATTTCAAATACGACAAATGATTCGCCTGCTGTCAATAAAACTTCAAATGCTGGAGCATTAATGGAAGCGATGTCTTCAGGCATGAATCTTATATTTTTCTGATATCTGTCTACATAGGCCGGCAGTACCCCAAGCGGCAGATACCACAACCGAATTATAAAGAGCCTTCAGGTGACCCTGAAGACGATCGATATTTATGTGAGTGTCAGCTGAGTCTTCACGTTTTTTAGACGGCACGCATGTTTGAATTTTTTTGCTTTCAGCACCCATTTTGATTCAACGTTATTGCAAAGGGCTCAAAGGTGGTCTCACCGGTTATTGTTTTTCGAAAACATATTCTTAGCATGCGTATATACACTTCCATTTCAATAGTATTTCAATGCATTACGACAGACATGTCTGAGTGGCTGATATTACGTTCTGAATAATCTGGGCACGAAAATAGAATGTCAAAGAAAGAAAAAGCCTCAATTTCTTACAAATTCCTGAAGCCCTAATATGTTCGTTTTGAAATAAGTATTAAAAATGCTTGCTCCCACCAAAATTGGTAGAACAAACGTTTTATCACCACTTCTTAAACTTTAACAAGGACAGCCCCTTTTTTACCATTTAGATGAGATATCCTAATGAAAACAGTTTTCTTAATTAGCTTCCTTTAATTTTTGAACCATATCAGTTGCTCAGGTTATATAAAAAGTGTTGTAGACGCCTTTTGCCTGTAGCTTAGGTCTCTTATGTCGATGATTTTATGCGTACACGAAGGGAACATCTTTAAACTATAATAAAGCAGCCGATTATTTCGTTTGGCGATAAGGCACCATGCTATCATGTTTTTCATTTTTGCGCGTATTGCCTATTTGCGTCGATTTGGGTCGTTTATGCTTCTTATGTACCCTTTCTTGCCAAGAACTCTTGTGCATGTCTCCAAGGTATCGGACTGACGCTGTGCAATAAGTTCTGTCTTATGGTACGTGTAATCCGTGTTGTTTACGGGTTTCATTCTGGAAGGGTGATCGGGAAGTATTTTTATAGTGACGTGCTAAAGGTTTTGTTTTGGCTGCAACCATGCCTCTTTCAGAGCTTAAGTTCTCTGGCTGGTTATGATCATCCACATGTGACGGACAATGTCAGCGAATCTCAGTGTCAAGTACCCTATTTTTTTAGGACCGCGTTTCGGTGTAAGTCTTCAAGATGAGCCATCTTGTTTAAAATGTCTAATAACTCTTTAACGATCATTGAAGCCCGATCTAATGTTCCTAACTATGGACTAGCATAGTACTTTTTCGCGGCTGATATGCAGTTAGATTTTATTTTACTCATATCGGCTCCCAAACTAATAAATAGCAATGCGTATTTTTACTTAACGATCAAAATAAAGTCGTTTACCAGCATTCGGGATACGTCTTAGTATAATTTAAACCTGCATTTTTCAGATTAATAGTTCATTTTTTAGTTCATAACACTTGTGTTTAATTAGCGCTGCGGTTCCTCTTTGGTAACGTTTAACTCCCGCGGTGTGGTCGAATCGACTGACCTCTTACACACCTTCGTCAGTAAATTAACTTAGTTTCGGTTTCTTGCGTTGAGGGGCGTGCGTATGTACCTCAAAGGTTTCAATGCATTGTTCAGTGCCTTAAGTTACAGTTAACAAAAAAGACAAACACTAAGGTTATAGGGGTTTAATGGGTGGAAAATTAGGATAGGCAGTGGAAAATACATTTATACCTGCTTAAGCTGTTTTATTTTATTGTATTTAAAAAAGTTTTTGATTTATATCTGTCAATTTTCCTAATCTAACGTATTGCGGAAAAACCCGATTATTAAAACGCAGGTTTCTTGAAATTCCTGAAAAAAATACAATTCGTGGCTAGGAGGTAGTTTAGTTCAACTTCCCTGAGGTCCAACTTACCATTGTGGAGTTAGATGAGTAAAGTCCGCGGTGCGAAGCGCCGCGCACACCTTCAATTTACATTCAAAATCACTTACTCCCAGCAGCCGCGGGAAAAAAATTCAAGTAAATTTTTTCAATTTACACTTGTACAAAATGCTGCGACTAAGGATATATGAGGTGCACTTCTGAAACTACTTTTTTCGAAGTCATACGAGGATCTTTGTATTAAAAAGTGGATTGTGCGGGTTTTTCTTCATCTCAAAAGATTACTTCTCCGAGAGACGTCTTTAAAAGTGCGCTTTTCGTACAGTCTCACCCCTGCTGGCACAAGTCTACGTCTTAAATGCTTGTCCAAACCAGGGGTAGACGGGAACAGGATCCTGATTCAGTTTTTGACAACTGCTTTTAGTGCAGAAACTGGAGTACAAATGTCCTTGCGACTCAAATTTAAAGTGTTCGGGCTCAGTTCAGTCCAGTTAAGTTACCTCCAGGTGTCATCTGCTTTCTTTGATCTTTAGTCGCGCAGATCACGAAGCGGTATCCCTCAGATGATCATAATCCAGTTCCAAAAGGAGGCATACATTAGGGGCTTAACACATTGCTAATTTGCTTACGTACCCTGAGATGAGCGATACCTGAATGAATCAGAATGTCGGAACAAGTAAGATGAGGATTTCAGTGATCTGACTGCACCTTACTCTTTCCATTTTCTATGCCAGGCGTATATTCGTAGCGAATATCTACTTGGTTTGAACAAGGCAACACTAAAAACGTACGCAGAATTTATTGACTTCATCGAGTTTCACAACTTCTTATTCAGAAGAAGATGTGATTGCTGGGACAAGCATTTTTTCCCTGACGGTTCGGCATTCGTCGCGGATACTTCATCAGAGTCATCAACAGAAAACAGTAGCAGAAACGGGTACTAGATGCACACGAATTTGTAGTATTTATAGAATAACGTCATTACTGCACACTTATGATAACGATAATTTAAGATAATTGTCCTCTTGTGCGTAACTTGCTTGGGACCGAAATGTAGACGGTGACCTGCCGAACCTGCATCACGCGTGGTGGAAGTGGACGTGATGATTGTCTGGCCACCTGGTTCCCCGGAGCGATCCCGCACGCCAAAAATGTCTCTGAGATCGTCGGTCGCCTTTTCCAACTACTTGGAATGGGAGTCACACACGGGCCGGTGGCAACCATAAGGCGTCAGATAATGAAATAAAAAGACCACGGCAAGCAACATCTGCAGTCTATATGATTTGGTGCAGTTGCGTAAAAAGTATACGTCGAAGACATTGGAAGTCTTCCTAAGACAAGAATTGTCGAACAAGCGGCAGCAGTGCGGGGAAATGATGCCAGTTCTCAAGTTGTGGCTCAGTTGTCGAGACCCGGCCACACATCCAAATTTTATGAGGCTGACATTTTCGCAAGGGATGACAGTCGTGTGAGTCGACAATTGCTTAATTCATGCTTCACGGCCCCCCAGTACACAAACAAGTGCAACGACCTACTCAATCCAATGCGGCCAAAGCATGTCGTCACTTGGAGAACGCACAGGCCACCACGTCGTCTTACGCCAATACCGAGGAACAGGATGGTCGAGTACTCATCACGTCCAATTCCACCACGCACGATGAAGGTTCAGCAGGTCACGGTCCGCATGCCAGTCATCAAGCAAGTAATGCACAAGAGGGCAAGAATCGTTAATTTTCGCTGTCAGAAGTGTGCAATAATGACTATGTTATAAATAATGCAATGTCCCGTGTATTTATAACGTGTTTCTGCTGATGCCTTTGATGAAGGACCCGACGGATGGCAAATAAAAGTATTGTCCCAGCGATCGCATCTTCTTCTGAATTCCCTCCTGGGACTCACATGTTTGCTTGTATTGACAACCTCATATTCAACTGCGTGCGAACATTGTCTATTAATAAGACAAGGTAAACTCTTAACTTAAACATCGTGTGAGAAGGATGGAACGCGTGAGGCATATGAAGCATGTATTGTTGATATTAAATGTGGGTAAGCCGTGCTGAGAGGGAACGGACGGAAGTCGGGGTTGGGGAGGTGAGTGCAAGGACGGGAGAAAGAAAGGGGTAATTGCGGCAATGCGAGGTTGATCACGTGATCCAGCTGCTTACGAAGTCGTGGTGTTCTCCTTAGGCAGTGTCTCTGCACCATCACGCGTAGATTGCACGGTAGATGTAATCGGAATTGAGAGACGAACTGTCAGTTTTTACTATTGCAGTGGCCTCTTCAAAGCGCAGGCGATGCCCAGTTGTCGCCCGAAGCGCAACCTTGAATGCTGTCTTTGGGTACATCACATGCCCAGTGTTCACCCGGTGCTTCTTACTTGAATTTACAGGTACCTTATTATATGGCCTTAGCAGGTATTTCGAAATCAGTCAGCTGACCAAGTTGCCAATTTCCTTTGCTTAAAGAAGACGTCGCAAAATTCGATTAGATCAATAAATTCGGCGTGTTTCGTCGCCTTTGCTTCGTACAATATCATTCTGGAAAAAAATGTTGCCTCAGTTGTGAACTCGGTATGATTAGATTCATTTATTGTCTGAGAGAGTTGGACGGTTATTCCTAGTTAAGATAGTGTTTAAATTACTTCAGTAATCGTAGTTTGATGTCGTTGAGGCACGGTCCTTACCAAAAATACTACTGAGTCAGTTTTCCTTTATTAATTCGTCCATTAAACTTTTTTCGAAATCCCCGCTAGACTGCTACGAATGCGAATGCATGGTCATCAACTCCTGTAAAAAACACCCAATTATGTGGATCAAGAACCTCGTTGTGGATGATTGTGACGCATCATCCAGTGGCGACAGAAAGTTATGTATCTGCTCGCTTGATAAGACCGTTCATGCGAAAAAGACGGCCCCTGAGGAGTACGTTTTTGTTGGGCGTTCAAGTATCCGGTCCGCGGGGTTGGGCGTTTGGGCTGAGAAGGAGATACCGCTTGGCACCGTTTTCGGACCTTACGGTGGTGAGGTTGTGTACCTGGACACCTTGTCCCCTGAGGATCTCGAAACTGTACGTTTAGTATGATCTGGATTAATTTATTTCGTACAGGTATTTTGGTGTCGATTTTAGTAGTGAAAATGGGGAACTACATCTAAAAAAAGCCTACTCTAATTTTTTATCTGGACATCATATTCGACTTAAAATATAAGAAGCACTTACTTATTGATAGGAAATAACCCTTTACTAATTTTCTGCGGTCACCTGGTGGTCATACGTGCGCTCGAAGGGTACAGAAATCGGTGTTAATTAGCTGGTTCTTATGCTGCATCTGCTGCTTATAATTGATTTACAGTATCTACTTTTCAAATAATTGGTTAGTGAAAACCAGGGGTACATACAGCCATTCAATTATAGAATAGGAAACTTTTGGTTTTTTTGAAGAAAAAAATCTGCTAAAACTGATACTAAGTTAAGTTTAAATAAGGGTGCTATTGATACTTATTATTTTACTCACGGCGTTAGGCAGGGTCTTATTAAACTTGCACTCCGACTGAACTTGGTAACAGCGAGCATTCAGATGAAATTTACACTCGACCAAACCCCAAGCGTTATCTCAGCCAAAAATGGCAGTTTCACACAAATAAAAGTGAAGTGTATTCCTAGAAACTGAAATTAATGACTGCTTGAATTGCCAGCACATCTCTCAGGACGCTGCCATATCTTACATATTCCTATAATTTATTTTACCAAAGCTGAGCGCTCGCTAAAAAAATATTCTGTCTGGAGAACTTTATAACCTACATCTTCTATTCAGAATGACCCGCCCTGACACGATTTGCGTTTTGAATGCAGGTCTCACTGGATACCTAAGGTATGCCATAAGAGCGGTTAAGACAAAAATGTTTGGCAGACGCGAGTTTTCACTTGTGCTAGAGAAGAACATGCTATTGTACTCTGATAAATAAACTTTCTCTCGTTCCTGAATTGTTTAAGCTGCAAAATATGTCAATATGACCAAATGCCTTTCGATGTGCCGATGTAATATTCTCCTTACAAGAGGTCTCGAAGAGGTTATGCCTGGCTCGTTCGGGAGAACCTACTCGGAACAAAGAGCCACCTAGTTGATGCTTCCAATCCAGTTGCTTCGAATTGGCTACGGGTTAGTCTAATGATGACGTTTTTAAGATTCTTCAGGACAGTTATTATTTTTTACAGAACCTCAAATGTGCGTTCAGTTATAGGTTATATTAGTGTCACTTCTGACCTTGAGAAGAATCGCCATTGAAAAAAAACGTATTTTCACTTTAAACTGCTTTTGTTTCCATTCCATCCAGAGATTTGCGTATGTCAATGTCGAATTTAAAAGCTTTTACAGGGAATCCTTGCACATATTTACAGAATATATAGAGAATATTTGTTTTAAAATTAGTTCGTCATCCCATATTGCCTCCTTTCCCGTTTAATAGGTGGCCTGCTAACAAGATGTCACGTCTATATTATCTTGTATCTTTAGTTCGTAAACTGTGCCAGAAACGATGAGGAGCAGACCCTTGTCACGATACAGTATCGTGGAAAGATATATTACAGAGCTTGCAGGGTAAGAGTGCCATCTGCATTTCTAATGTCTCTCTAGGTGATCCCTCCGAACGTTGAATTACTTACTTTTTATGGCGAAAAAGTAAGTGTAATTTTCATGTCATTCTGCGTTTTGAAACAATTTTTGATAATTGTCACCTCTCTTCTTTAAATAATTGAACTTGTGCTTAACTGAAAGCTGCTTAACCCGCTATTCTTCTAAATGAATTTGTATCATACAAGTTTCTTTTTTATTTCGATATTCAGACTCTGATATCGATTTTACCGAATCAGTTTTGAGCTAAATATATCGCAGACTCATGTTTCACGAAATGTTTAGTTCGCTCGGGAACTCGGGATAACCACTGTCGACGAAACGCCGCCTATTCCTTCTAATGGTGAGCTCATTCTTTTCCGTTCACGTTATCAATTTTCACAGATTGACTATTTGCTCATTGTTTCATAGTTTCTATCAATTCAGAAAACTAGGTTGTGATTAGAAGTTCCTCACTTGGACTTTGCCTTTGTTATAGAACAAAACCGAAGATCATAGCTTTACGTATTCTCACAATGCGATAAGGACCGCGGTAACTAATTATCGTTTTGAAAGTACAGTAGTCGCCGGCTATTAAGCCCACCTCGGGCCCAGACCAA